TAGTCAAGCTGATTGAAAAGTCGCGTCCAGATTCTCCAGTGATCCAGAATATCCTCTGGAATTGCATCGTCCCATCCTATTCCGGATCTCCAAATGTCCTGTAGAATTACTTTGGCATAGAACACGAAAAAGGCGATCATACCGAGTGGATCAAAAACACTCATCACGCATCGAAGCGCTTCCCTCTTCGTTGGAACCTTTTCACCGTAAACCACATCTTGAAGATTCGGTCGCACTTCCTTGGAAAAAGTGAACACGTCATCCTTTGGGATCCAAATCATTCCCTATACCCTTTCGCTTGTCGTTTCAGCTTTATCAAAAACAACAGGCATTTCCTGTTCAACACAAGTTTCCCCGACCCGTTCGAGAACTTCTACACTATTCGACATCCAGTTTCTAATGTGAAAACCTCCAGCAGCTTGAATCTCTTTCACTTGCAGCATCAATTGCACAGCCTCATCGACGGTATCGCAAAAATTAAGAAGATCGTCGACATAATGGCTTTTAATTATTGCTTCAGCCGCTCTCGGAAACTTCTCGGCGTGGTCCTCAGCATTTTTGTTTTTGATGTACTGTGCTGAACTTGGTGAACAACATGAACCGAAGGTTGCGACATCCATGATGTACGTGTCGGGCTCCTCGTCCAATGAATTTCGGAATGCAAAACACTGTGCTGACTTGTCCTGGTGTCTTATGAGGAATTGGTGATACATTTCCTGAATATAACTTATATACGCCTTTGACGGAAGCGGCCTACTACAGCTGACAAGGGAGTCAAGAAGTCCGGTCCCTTCAACAGCATTGAATTCAAACTGACACCTTTAACAGTGACCGACGCATCCTAAATTATTCTGACCTTGCCTTGCTTCTTTGGACTTACGACAACTCCAAGAGGCAAAAACCAAGTTCGTTTTGGATCCATTTCCTTCAACTCTGCAACCGCAGCCTTATGAGCATATCCTTCGCCCTGTTTTCTGACGTTTTCATAGAGATTTTCATCCTTTTTCAATCTTCGTTCCATACACTGCAGTCGGCGGATTGCCATGTCGTAGCTAGCCGGAAACTCGAACACGTCATAGCGCCAAAGAAGTCCAGATTCAAAGCGGTTTGTTACTCGAATCGTCGTGTCTTGTAGAATCTTCCGCCTATGGCATCTACTGCAAAATACGATTTCACTAGCTCCTGAAGATGCTCTTCAGAACAGCAGTCGCACCACCTCACCCCATGATAGCTCACCAGATTCTGCTTGCTCGAAGAACCCCCAAATACGGACCATCCCAATCGGGTTTTTACTGCTATCGGTTCACCAATATGACCTTCTCTAGATCTCATCGGAACCAGAAGATGCGCGTTGTCAAATCCAATTAAAACTTGTGGAATAGCATCCTTGTAACCTTTAATCGGAATTCCATCCAGGTGTGGGAACGCCTCAACCAGGCTTCCGGTCTGCATTGTCTGCTTAGGAAGTACCAATTCCGAGACTGTTCTGGCGTTGATGAGAGGGTACTTATCTTTGGCGTCATATCCAGACACTTCCAGATTCATCCTTCTAGAGTTGGGCTCAGTCCTGGTCCTATTTGCTGTCCAGACTAAACACAATGGGTCAGCTTCACCTTCTATACCCAACAGCTTGACGAGATTCTCTTCCAATAAGGTAACCGACGACCCATCATCCAACATGGCATAGGTGTGCACGACTGAACTTTTTCCATGCAGTGTGACTGGTATAATCCGGAATAACGCTGCATGTAACATCCGGTGATGATTAACTACCGCAGTTGTTTCGTGCTCCGACGGTCTTGAAAATGGCTTAGAATGCAGCCTATTATGTATTCTTGAACAACCATCAACACCGAGGGGGGCGACACATCTAAATCTCCATTCTAGATGCTCAAAAAATCTCACACTAGCGAATCAATCTTCGAAAAATCATCTTTCATCTCTCGCATCTACTTGCATCGTGCTTCATCTTTTTGCAGGAAATCCTCAAAATCGACATAAATTTTTCTTCTATCTACTTAGCGTGCGTGCAGCTAGCCACAGCAAAACACAATCTTTTCTGCGTCGTAGATAGAGTCGTCCCCATCGATCAACACCACAGTCCTCTCCGCTGGGGCTTCAACAGCCACGTCGAATATGCCTGCGAGAAGGCTTCGAAGGCCATCAACGCGATAGCTAGAATCATGCCGAACAACGCTGGTACCAGCAGTAGCAAGAGGCGTCTTCTGGCCAGTGTGTCATCATCGAAACTGAGATATGGAGGTCCAGCCTGGGTTCCAGCGCTGGAAACGAAGCAGAACCAAAGGAAACTGAGCAGTACGTTCCGGCTCATGGCCATGCGAGTCGTGAGTGCGTACAGAACCATCTCATCGGAAGCAGTATGCGTTATCGCCGGTATGATCCTTATCGGCATCAACCTGGCGGAGGACAGCGAGTGCTACAGGCGGAGAGAAGCCGGAAGAGTACGGAAAGTTGTGAGAGTGGAGTCATTGACTAAGTGGCAACAGGAGTGGAACACGACGCAGAACGGTAGATGGACACATAGACTAATACCGATTCTTTCGACCTGGGTGAACAGAAAACACGGAGAAGTCAATGCAGTTTATGTCTGGCCACGGCTGCTTCAGGGAATACCTGCATCAGGGAATACCAGCGTCACCCTTCTGTTTGGAGTGTGGCAACATCGATGAAACGCCGGAGCATGTGGTCTTCGACTGTCCAAGGTTTGAGGCAGTGCGAACGGAGATGCCCGTCCTTAACGTGGAGAATGTCGTCGTTGAAATGTGTCGAGAGGAGGGCACTTGGAATGCCGTCAGCAGGGCAGTCACGCAGATTATGTCAGAGCTGCAGCGTAAATGGAGAGAAGAACAGCGATCTAGCAACGCCAGCTAGCGCTGAGAGTACGACAAGTGCATGAGCACACCCGAAAAAAAAAATTACAGTGAAATTTTCAGTGGAAACAATACTCCAACATTAATATTTATTGTCGACAATAAAAATGATTGTTATAATGTTGTACTCTTCGAAAACGGCAAAACTGCTACCTAGATGTACAATGAATGTGCATAATAAAATGTTGTTACAATGATTTTTATCGTATTTTTCATTTATTTTATTGTTAACATGATTCGATCATGAACAATAATGAACAACTCTATTACAATAAAAATTGTTGTTACATTAAATATTGGTGTATTTTCATTGTGGGTTACTTCACGAACAATAAAAATAAATCTGATTGAAGCATGCAGACTATGAGAGGGTCAGCAACACTGCCAATGTAATTAAGATAGGCGCTGCTCGTATGGCTCTGGCTTTGACAGTTCGTTTGGCTCAAAACCAGGCAGTCCGCGTTCGCTCATATCTTATCCTAGACCCTCTCTAAAGCTTAATGGAGACCTTTTCCGTGCAGTCAATAATCATACAATAATAATAAAAAATTCCACCGCTTGAAGATGTCAGGAAAGAACTCTCAGGTGGAAGCATATTTCATGAGCGATTCTCTCCAGTCGAATGCATTAACTTATCAACGACGCTCAACCACCAAGGAGACGTGACCTAGGGATATCGAGCGCAAGGGAGTTGGCCTGTATTTCTCACAAGTTCCGGATCGAATCCCGATCCATAACCAGTAAAAAAAGGACCACTTGTAACAGACATACCACCCCCTTCCCTTCCCGGGGCAATGTTTTATTTTTTCGATTTATTTTTAAAGTCGATAAAGTAGATCTGTCATGCCAACACATACACTCTAAAGTACACTGTTATTTTTTTTAATCAATAAATTCGCCAACCAACAGTAAAATAACAATAATATATAATGTTATTGAAAAAAAAATATATGGGAAAATCACGAAAATTTCATTGTTATAATACTTAACAACCCCCCTTTTTTATTGTAAATTTTCCATTTACCATGAAATTTACTGTTTTGTACAACATAAATCAAGGTAAATTTATTGTAGACGTAACAATATAAATCATTGTTAGGACAATAATTTTTGTCTTATTGTTACATTGTTTTTTAATGTATTTTTGTTGTTATTTTTTTCGGGCAGCCACCCCCCGAAGTAGTCGCTTCACAGTGGTCCCGGGGGGATCCAGGTAGAGGAGAGAGTAAGGAATGGGTTTTAGTGGAGCTGCACTAGGAAACTAGTGGATACCACACCGTACCAACTTCACTACAGGCCAGGCTTCTTGAAGCTTTCCTAAACCTTACTATAGAAAAAGGGAAAACACACACACACACAATTGCGGGTTGCCAAACCTTGCAGACAAAATAACTTTATTGGCCGTGCAACCAGATTTACTTTTATAAGGTGATCCAAGAGACGTTTCTCAGTGGAACTGACAGCTAGAAATCTAGAGTATGTGAGTGATATGTTGTTAATGGTGCTGAATGTAATTATAAACAAAGCAGAAATTGATATGAGAATAAACTGCCAGTTGTGATCTGTCAAAAGTTCTTGGTAAACAAAAAAGTCAGCTGATCGCAACTGTCTAGTGGACAGCCTTATTCTCTCCGCGCGTCTTTTATAAAACATCGTCTCTGGGAACTAATATATTCAATTTACTAAAATTTGGGTTATTGGGCTGAACCCAGGAATTGAGGGAAAGGTACTTCATTTTAGATAGATTCATCTCCGTATAAGTTATTTAGTATTGCCGCTATAGCGGTTCAAAGGTAGGGGATACTAATAAAAAATACCATGAACGAACGATAACCCAAATTATAGAACTATTCCACAAATGGTTTGGATTATACCCCGAACGCGAAATAACCATACAAATTTTATTAGGGTAGTCACAAGCATTAAAACTTAAATATCACCGTTATAAGCAAGTATACTGTTATTATTTTTATTTTTTGCACGGTTTGAGGACCACTATTACTTTGTTTCGGATTAACCATGAGCTACTCAGTCACCCTCTATAACCTTGTTTTTGTTCCTTCAAAATAATACATGGTTTTAAAATGCTGTTAATTTTCGACTGTTTTTTATTAAATTAAAAAAAATAAAAGACATATTATTAGCTACAACTGGACAATAGAACCAAGACATATCTGTCGGTGTTTTGTATTCTGGAACAAAGCCCTTATAAGGTGTTTTATCTCCTCGGCTTTATAGTTTAATGTCAGTGGCCCTTTGCCTTCAGCCCATAGTTCAGTGATTTCGATCAAGGATGCATCCAGAATTTTATGCAGTTGCATTAGTTTCATCCAATTTTTTACTACAATTGATATGTCAGTGGGATCCTGGAATGCATTAAAAAACGTTAACAATCTTTATATGTATACACTAGGTTCGATATAATAGTCCGAACCGATTTCAATTTGACTGTTTCTAATATTGTTACGTGTGTGTGCTGTTATGACAAATATGTTCAATTTTGCGTGAAATATGAAATTGATACTCAGCGAGATAGGGTTTTTCATCTAATTTCCGTCCTACTGAGGAACAACCAGTGCTTTGTCTCTCTTTTTTTGAACGGGTTTGAACAAAAAAATTAATATTTCTGTCAAAGATGACTTATAAATTTATTCACCTTTCCATACGTACCGTTGGTTTGATAAAGAATAACACATTGTTGAGATTTTGTTTAAAATCTAATACTGCTTCTTGATTCTAAATTCGTTCTACCAGTTTCAATTCCTTCCAAACGCATTGAAACGCCATTAGATTTTCTTCGTCCTACGGATAAACGTAGAAAAAGAGAATTCGCTAGGACCACTTCTTTTGTTTTGAGTACAATAAGCGTAAATGTTCAAACAATTCTCTCTAATAGGATTTATGTTGTAGCTTGTGAACTAACGCATCGGAAAAAAAAACCTATTATTGATTTGTGGACGGTAAAATAATTGATATTATTGATCATTTCTGATCGAAAAAACGGAAATGGGCGATTACGACGAAGTAGCACTCTAACCTACTCGGTTCAATTGTTCGAAATAATATCAGATCTAGAATTGCGATTTTAAGAACGACTATTATTTCGAACAATTTTATTTATTTTTGACGAAGGAATGGCGGAAAGGAGGATTCACCAGTTATAGTTTATTTCATGCTACATTTATAGAGGGATCAATTGAACCGTGAACTCCCTTTTGTGTTATAAAAAGCTAACAAGCCAAATCCCTCTGCTGTGTACGCTCTATATTGGAACGTTGGAGGCGAACCAGCCCCAGGTTGAAAACCTCCCTAATAAAGATAAATCAATCAATCAATCTATATTGGAATCTGCAGTGATAGTCCATACAGCAGAAACTGAATCGACCGCTTCGAGTTTGTACAGAAAAAGTTTGTGCGCCAAGCTCTCCGGCACTTAAGGGTTCTATAGATCATGATTAAGACTTGTAGAATGCTATAGAACCTCCTTAAGCACTGTGTTTTGTAGCTGCGCTAAGGGCGTATCGTTTGCACCCTTTGAAAAAAAAAAAGATCTTCAGATATTTATGTTATTGGTAGTATAAATTCTGAGTATTTAGTGAACATAATAAAACACCCTTACATTATGACATTCCATTGAATAAAACCTCCCTTGATTTTCTGAAACATTAGTTTAAAACATTTAAGCATTTTCATTTGAAATGCAAATCAATTTTAAAATGATTAACATCCAAATCCCAATAAAAATAAGGTGCATAGAACAAATTACCATGCAATAAATTTAATTTGAGGATTTCATTTTAATGAACAATATACAGGAAAAAAAATCTTAGGAGTATTCAAAAGAGTTCTAAAGATTTGTTTACGATAATTCCAAGGGAATTGAATTCTGAATTCCGAGAACAGTTCCAACATAACGTTGAGGAACATTTCTAAGGAATTTGTGTAATAATCTGGTAATCCGGTGATAATTTTAAAAAACTTCAAAAGAGAGTTCTATGAAAATTATGAGGAGCATGTCAAATAATTTATGGGAATTATGAGCAGAACTTAAAAGGAATTCCTTTGTTAATTCCACGGGAATTTCATAAGAATACTGAGTGCTTACTCCAAGGTATTTTTCAGGAGTATTTTTCGGGAAATTTCTAGAAGTATTAATAATATGAAGAGCATTGTAGAGTGAAGTCAAAGAGTGTTCTACACATGGGCCGGGACCAACGGCTTTACTTCACTTCCGAAGGAAGACGTGACCAGAGATTTTTATGCCTCATAAAAATCCCACCGACCTCGGCTGGGATTGAATCCAGACCCATTGGGGTGAGAAAGCAGTCACGCTTACCACTACACTTTCTCGTATTTCTTGATCAACTGATCGAAAACATCTCATTTCTGCATCAAACCGTTGTGCAGTACAGTCGGTTGTTTAATTCGCTCGCTCAGTGCCAGTGATATTAATAGTGCTACGCGTTTGTTCACGTTTTCGGTCGTTTCGGTGCATCGCGTGTGATGTCGAAGCGGAAGAAGAATACAGACTCGAACCAGGGTTCGAACCCTGCAACCCAGTCTAACGCTGCCCAAGGCGGCAAAAAGACGAAGAGAGACGCATCCGACCGTGAATAGTAGTCCGCAGGATAACGCCACAGCAATCAACGCTAGTGACGTCGGTAATTTCGGCGGGTCCGTTGAAAACTTGACCACGGGGGGCCAGAACGGTCCGAAAGTGAAACTTCCACCTCTGGTGATGAAGTCAGTACCACTCGACAAGCTGGCTCAAGAGATGGCATCCCTTGGCGTCGCTGCCGAGTACAAGCTGTGCGGAATTGGCACGAAAATCATCCTCCACACAAAAGCGGACTACAACAAAGCTTTGGCTTCGCTGAATAATTCCAAAGTGGAATTTTTCACACACGACATCCCGGGCGACAAACCATTTAAGGTAGTCATCCGAGGCCTTCCGAATTTCGAAATGAAGGTGATCGAAGCTGAAATTAAAGATAGATACAAGCTAACCCCCATCGCCGTCCTTCGGATCAAGAGGAGGAACGAAAGCCAGAGGAAGTACCAGGATTGCCTTTTCCTGGTACACTTCAAGAAAAGGACGGTTAGGCTTAATGCGTTGCAAGCAATCCGCTCGCTCTTCAACGTCATCATCCGTTGGGAGTCCTACCGTGGTGGCCGCCGCGATGTAACGCAGTGTCAGCGCTGCCTCAACTTCGGACACGGCACCCGAAATTGCAACATCAACCCACGCTGCAGCTTCTGCACCAAGGACCATGCCTCCTCCGACTGCCCAGATGACAGTCCTGAGGTTATCAAGTGTGTCAACTGTGGCGGTGCTCATCAGGGCTCTGACAGGCAGTGCCCCAAACGCGAGGAGTTCAAGCGTATCCGAAAGGATGCATCGACCTCCAACCAACCAGGACGTAAGAAAAATAAGTCCCCGACTTTCGGGCCAGGCGATTTTCCGCCTTTTCGAACCAACCAGCAACCGCGAGTGCAACTCGCTCCCCTCCAACCAACGCCCGGTGTACAAATTCCACTCTCCCTTGGATCCTGGAGAACACCACCAACGCTAGAAGGTATGTCCTCGATGGACGAGTGTTGGAACATGTTCGTCCATGTTACAAGCGTCCACAAGTGCATCAAAAAGAACGAACAGTTCGAAACTATCGTTAAACTGGCTATGCATTATGGCGTCTAAACCACTATGCATAGTCACATGGAACGCTTGCTCCTTAAGAGCAAAAACCATCGAGCTTGCGGACTTCCTCCGCAAGCATACCATCGACGTGGGCCTCCTCACCGAGACCCACCTCAAGTCCGGCGACAGTTGCTGGTTACCGGACCACAACATCATTCGGCTTGATCATACCAGCTCCAGGGGGGGGGGGGGGTGGTTTTGCGATCATCGTCAGAAAGGGGATAAAATACCGCAGTCTCTCCCATATCCGCACCTCTATCATCGAGGCCCTTGGTGTGAAGGTGGAGTTGGCGACTGGATACGTCCAGTTCATCGCCGTCTACTGCCCTCGACAGTGTGCCGCCAGCAGCGGACTAGCGACTAAGTTCAAGAAAGACCTGGCCACCATCACCCGTACCGGTTCCCGCTTCGTTGTTGTAGTAGATCTGAATGCTCGCCATGAGGCCTGGCGGAACTACCAGCAGAACCAGAAAGGTTGTCTGCTGTTCGACCATTCGCAGCATGGGCTGTACTCCGTTTGGTTCTCGGACGAGCCAACATTCATCTCACCGGCAGGCAACCCATCGACGCTAGACCTGTTTCTTACAAATACTGGCTTGTCCAAACCGGGAGCCTTGAACGAACTCAGCTCCGACCAGTGGTGGCTGAACTGGGATACAACGTAGCTCCTGCTCCAAGCCTGCGCAAGGACTACCATCGCGTAAACTGGGCCCAGTTTGGACGCGTGGTAGACAGGCACATCATCGACAACCCGCCGCTTGACTCCGTGGAGGACATCTACCGAGCGTTGGGGGGACTTCACCAAACCATAACCGTGGCTGACGAGGCGTGCGTCCGACGAGTTCCTGTGAGGGGTAAGTTTATTGCCATTGATTCCCACACCCAACTATTGATTCGACTGAGAAATGTTCGTATACGCCAGTTCCAAAGAACCGGAGATCTAGCGTGGAAACGTGAAATGGCCGATCTGAACAAGGAGATTGCTTCCAGAATGGTCTCACTCCGGAACGAAAGTTTCGGGCGGCTCATCCAGAATCTGGACGACTGCTGCAGATCATTCTGGAAGGTTGCCAAGGTACTAAAGACGCACCCCAAACCCATTCCTCCACTCAAAGATGAAAATGATGACGATCGGCTCATAATCACCCCTCAGGAGAAAGCAAATGTGATTGGTGAGCATATTGCCAAATCGCACTTGCTTGGCTTCAACATCCAAAGTCCGCTCGAAGTTCAGGTTGAGCAATGCGTACTCAACCTTGATTCCTCCCCTTGTGCCATTCCTTCCGGAGGATAGAATCACAGTGGAACAGATTTGCTCAACGCTGAAATGCACCAAAAACATGAAGGCCCCGGGTTTGACGGAATATTCAACCTAGTATTGAAAAATCTCAGCATGAAGGTTAACTCTCTGCTGGCTGCTGTCTTCAACAGATGCTTGGAACTGCACTACTTTCCAAGTATCTGGAAGACAGCGAAAATCATACCTATCCGCAAACCCGGGAAGGACCCAACGCTAGCTTCAAGCTACAGACCAATCAGCGCTGAGCAAATTGTTCGAGAAACTTATTCTCAATCGTTTGCTCAAGTTTGTCGAGGAACACAACATTCTCCTACCGGAACAGTTCGGGTTCAGGAAGGGGCACTCCACAAATCATCAGCTAGTACGGG